GCATGCAGATGGGTGGACCAGGCTAGGGTATGCGGGCGGGTGTCCCAGCATTCTGGAGTGCCAGGCAGTGCTTAGCAGATGGTGAACAGACCTGTTTGGCTGGATCAGACACAGGCTAGAAAGCCCTTGATGGCTGTGCTGGGAGAGGAGAAGGTGTTCCAACTTTGTCTGGCAGACAATAGGGAACCATGGAAGGCTGTTGAGCAGGAGTGGGACATGATCAAAGCACTATTTAAGAATCTGTATCCAGCTACATGTGTGTGGTGGATAGAGGGGTCAGACTGAAGGCAGGAACTTGGCGCTGTCCACCAAGTCTGAAGGTAAGAGGTCCAGCGTCAAATGTCAGGGAGGAGGAGCTTCTCACACTAGAGGTCAGACCGAGGGGCTGGGATGGGGATGGCCCTGAACTGGTCCACAGAGGATGAGCCCTGGGCTGAGGGGGCTTCCAGCCTTGCTGAGGGTGCTCAAGAGGGGACCCCTGCGTTGGAAGGAAACCATCAGTGGAGGCTGTACCACATTCCATCTGAGAGTCACTGTATCCTCCTAACAACCCAACAAACTCAAGATTATGGTCCCCTTTTAGAGATGAAGGGACTGAGGCTCAGAGACGCCAAGTAACTCATCTAAGGCCACACAGCAAGTGAGAGGCATAGCCAGGGCTGCCTGTCTGACCTGAACTCCTTGGCCTGCACTTCCCCTGCTGTTCCTATGCCTCCTCTGTCCTTTCTTTAGGGGTCTTTGCTCTCTCTGACTCTGCTCTGGGAACCTCCTCTCGAGGCTCTGGGGCAATGAGACTTGCTAGTGATTGGATCTAAGACTCAGTAACCCCAGGTGACTGTGATCCCAGGTGCTCAACCCAGAAGAATGGGCTCCTTGGGGCACCTGGCTCAGCCTCCCTGGGCCAACATTTGTGCCCAGGCTGAGATGGAACTCCCTTGGTCCAAGCCACCACCACCAGAGGGCGCCGACTGGCTCAGGAGGCCAGGGTTGTCCAGGTGAGGGAGAGGGGAGGCCCCGCTTCCAGAGAAACAGAGCGGCCCCTGAGCCTGGGAGATGCCCTCACTGGAGTCCAGGGAGCCCCTGTCCCCTTCCCATCTCTCCTAGCTGAGGTCTGGCTGACCCTTCCTCCCCAGTTCCTGCCTGTTCAGGGAGTCAGTTTTCCTCAGCTTGGGCATCAGGAAGCTGGGATCTCCTTGCCAACCTCACGCCTTTTTGGCTCTCCCCAAAGCCTTCCATTAGCCCCCTCCTCCCTCAGGCACAGTGCTGAGGCCGTGCAAAGCACCAGAGTTGTCACCTCTGTCACCTTCTCTCAGCCTCTTCACAAGCCTGGGTGGGAGTGCGGCCCAGGAGATCCACCAGCAGGGCCCAGAGAGGGGGAAGGAAGTGCCCGGGGCCACACAACCTGCCAGTGGGCCCCAGTGGGTGGGGAGGGGAGGGAGGGATCAAATTCCTGTCTGGGCAGGATTGAGGGGGTGGGGGCCAGGAGGGAGCTCCCCAGTCTCCTTCCACACTGCAGTCCACCATCTCCATTCCCCAGCTTCATCTTCCCCCAAGACCACTAATGGAGGGGAGCACACCCCTCAAAACCCCCCTATTGCAAAGCCAGGTTTCACCTGAGATCCCACCACCCTCCTTCCCAAGCTTAGCCCCTTGGCTGTGGCCACTGAGGGCCTGGCCGGGTCCCAGGCACCACACCACAGCGGCCAGCCTCCCTGGGCCAGAGCTCAGGACAGTCCCAGTCTGTCTGGCAGGGCTGGCCATCTGGGATTGGCTGGAGGTGCCCCCGCCTTTGGGAGGAGGAAGCCATGAGGGGAGGCTGGTGGCGGCCCAAGGTCACCCTCTTTTCTTTCCCAGCATCCCTACTAGACCTTTGTCCCTCCTGCCTCACCTTGAGGAGGGAGGAGGAGGAGGCAAAATGCCCAGCCAGCAGAGGGCAGAGGAGCCCAGAGAAGAGAAAGGCCCTTTGGGCTCCTAACATTTATTCACTCAACAAATATTGAGTGCCTTCTGTATACCAGGCACTGAGCAAGGTGGGCACAACCCCAGCCCCCACGGAGCTCACAGCCCAGCGAGGAGACAGACAAGAAATAAACACTCACACAACGCAAATTTATGTCCGGGAGCAGAGCCGCAGAGGCACTGCGGGGAATTGGCCTGGCCAGGGAAGGCTCCCAAGAGGATCCGAGGCAGAGAGCCTCATCTGGCCCAGGAGAAGCAGGCAGGCTTCAGGAGTGGGCACGGCTTTGCAAGGACCTGCGCAAAGCCTCAGTTTCCTCATCTGTAAAACGCAGGAAACAAACGCGCCCCAAGCACTGGGTTGCTGCGAGGCAGCCGCACCAAGGCGGCGGCCCCCAAAAAGCTGGAGCCGTCCTGCAGTCCTCACTGTGGAAGCAGAGGGGCGAGCGCCTCCGCGAACATGGCCGGGAGGGCATTCGCCGGAGACTGGCCGCTCTCACAGAGCTCCGAGGTGGACTCCAGGGGCGAAGGACCCCAGTTCTGGGGCCGCGCCACAGGGCTTTCTGGGCCCCTGCGGCGGCCTTGGGCAAGCGGGGAGGAGGGGCCGGTCCCCAGGCTGCTTCTCCTCCTCTCCCCTGCCACACCCCCCTGCTCCTGACCACGTGGCACCTCTGCGCCCCAGGCCTGGGGGAGGATGGTGCTTGGCCTGGGGGCTTGGGGAGCTAGGGACAGGTGGATGGGATTTGGGGTACCGCTGAGCCCGCCTCCTGTGGAGCAGCCCCGCTTGGTCCTGCCCGACAGCCCCAGGGCGGCAAGGAGGGGATGCTGTCCCTTTAAGAGCCTTCAGGCTGCTGGGAGCAGATGGCCAGGCCGGCCGGGGCCCCTTGTCCTTTGTGTGGCTTTGCACAAAAAAGGGGGCCAGCAGGGGAGGGGGCGGCTGCAGCAGGTGGGAGGGGTGGGGCCTTGCCCCTCCCCCTCCTAACTCTGCACCATTACCCCTTGGGGAGGGGGCTGCTCAATGGGAACATGCCTCCTCTCCGGACACTGTGGCCCCCTCAGTCGCCCCCAAACTCCTAGGACATCCCTCCAGTGTCCCACCTCTTAGGCAGAAGCCTCACCACACCAAGACCTAGGGATCCCCCCACCCCCACCCCCCACACACAAAGGAATAAGCCTCCCCTCCCTGCCCCCACTTCCAGAGCAGAATCTTCTTCTGGCCCTGAGCATCTGGCTCTGGGAGAAGAGAGAGCAGTTAGGGTCTTATGGGGTGGGGGTGGGTGTTTCGGAGGGAGAGAAGCCAGAGGCTGGGGCCCTTGCATGAGAGGCTGGGGGTCCTGGGGCAGCCCAGGAGGAGGCAAGCAAATGAGCTAGACGCTGAGGCTGGGGGAGGGGCAGGGCGGCTGGGCCCTGGCCCCAAGGTACGAGTGTGGAAATCGGGGGGCGGGAGGGGGCAAGTGAGGCCCTGCCTCACGGGAGCCCGGGACCAGGGCAAGATGGAGGACTCCATCCTGGGAGAGGGCGGTGGTGCAGCGATGGCAGCCTGCCAGGCAGGAGGGGACAGAGATGGGAGCCTCTAAGGGCTGGAGTTGCTGCGGGGTGGGAGGATGGCACCCTGCCACTCAGGAGGGGTCACCTTGGAGCAGACCCTCTCCGGCTCAGACCTGCCCTTGGCCCATTCGTTCTCCTCCTTTGTCCAGACCTCCCCACCCCGGGGCTTGATGCCCAATTCTTGATTTACGAGGAGGAAAAAGGCCCCAGAGCCCTGGCCCGAGGTGTGCCGGGCAACGTGGCCGCGGGCTGGGTGGCCCGAGGGTGGCCCCAGGCGGCCCGACAGAGCCGCAGATGGGTGGGGTCGTGCCTGACTTTGCCTGCCACACGCAGGAGCCCCCAGGAACAGGCTGCCCCGCCGGGTCGCGGCTCGACCGCAGCCCCCAGCCGGCTGGCCACAGGCAGCGAGTGGGGGCTGGGATCCCTGGTTGGGCCCAGGGCTGCTTCTAAATTTAGGAATCTGATTACAGAGTGGCCGGGAAGGGAAGGGAGAGGAGACGCGGGTGCAGGCTCGGCTCCGTCTGGGCACAGCGGGGTGTGCCCAGTGAAGGTGTGTCCTGGAGGCTCCGGGTCCCGGCTAGGAGGGGCAGCGGGCGGGGGCTTCGGCCTGTGTGCGCGGCAGCACGTGCCCGGGGCGGCGGGGACAGGCACGGGCGCAGCTCTTGCTCGGAGCCGCCGCCGGTGTGTGCGCTGGCTCTTTGTGTGCCTGGCAGGGTGGCTGGGTCTGGCTTTGAAAGTCTTTGCCCACCCCCTCCCCCATCTCCGTCTGTGCCGCTCTACCCGCTTCCCTGTCTGTCACTCTGCCCGTGCTGGGGGTGGGGGAGATGCTACTCCCCAGCTGGGGTGACAGCGAACCTAATGGGGAGGAGTCCTGTGGTGCAGCCCTTCCCCTGCACCTTCCACTCCCCAACCCTTGGCCCCTGCTTTACTGTTTTGGGGTACAGACTGCAGCAGTTAAAAGGGAATTGGGGTGACCCCTGGGGACCCACAGAGCCAACAGAAGCCAGGCTTTGGCCCGGTAGCTATTGGAGGAATGCATTCCTCGCCTGTCCGGCCTCCCATCCGCTGGAGCCCCCAAGGGCGCATGAAGGGGGGTCCCCCTGCGGAAGGGGGGGCGGGGAGTTCCTTGGCAGGAAGGGAAATGGAAGGAAAAGCTGGGCTCCACCCGGGCGGGCAGGCAGGCAGGCGGCCTCACGGCCCCCAGGGCAGGCGGCGGTAACCAGAGCCCACTAATGTGCGGGGCCGGTGTGCGCGTGGGTGGGGCTGACCCCCAGCTACTCTAGGGGGGCAGCGGGATTTCCCCCAGGGGCACGTCTGGGAGCCCCGGCATGCAAGGGGGCCCGCAGAGGGAGCGCTCCCCACCCGCGTGATGACCCCACCCCCTGAGGTCTAGCCCCGGCCCAGGCCCCGCCCCCGGCCCTCCCTCCCACCCCAGGGCCAGATGTTCAGCTGGCGGAGGCATCGGCTGGGGGAGGGGTGCTGAGGCCGCAGCCGGCACTACTTCCCTGCCAGCAGCTTCATTGTGTGCGCGAGGAGCGGCGGCGGAGCGGGCCGGCGAGGCGCAGCCCGAGCGGCGGGGAGAGCGCGTCGGAGAGGGTGCGAGGCGGCGCCCGCGGCTGCGCTCCGCCCGCCTCCCGGCAACTCTGCCCCAGCGCCGCGCGCCGTGCGTCCCGCCCCGCCGCAGGCACCGCCGCCACCGGCGGGGCCCCTCCGGCTGCCGTCGCGGGCAGGGGGCTGGTCCGGACGGGGTTCCTGCCCGGGGACCGGGGCATCCCGGGCGCAGTCGAGAGGCGCGGAGCCCCCGGGGGCGCACGTTGCGCTGCATCGTCCGCCCACTTCGCGGCGTGGGCAGGCGGGAGGTGGGCTCTGGCGCGCCCCGAGGGCAGGGCGCCCCACTTCTCTGCGGAAGCTTCAAGCCCGTGGAGCGCACAGAGTGAGCGCACCGCGGCCGCCCCGGACCTTGCGCTCATTCCCCGCGTACCCGACTTCAGCACAAACTTTTCTGACGCCCTCGCCCGTGGGGGTCGCAGAGAGAGCTGGGGCTGCCCGCTGGGCGCCCGCCCTGCCGGACCCCAGCCACGCCGACCTCCTGCCTCTCGTAGCCTCAGTGGCGACCTCTCCAGGCCGGGCCGGGCACGGCACTCGGGGCGAGCGTAGCGAGCTCCGTCGCTCTCCAAAGGCACCCGCGCCCCCCGGGGCAGCTGGGCGGGGTAATGCCCTCGGTGATGGAGAAGCCGAGCGCGGGCTCTGGGATCCTGTCCCGCAGCCGGGCCAAGACGGCGCCCAACGGTGGACAACCCCACTCGGAAGATGACAGCAGCGAGGAGGAGCACTCGCACGGTGAGCCCGGCGGCCTAGGGTTAAACGCGCGTCGGACCTGGTGGCGCGGCGGGGAGGGGTGGTGGTGTAGTTTCCGTCCACGGGCTGATTATACTGGTGGCTCCTGCCCCCTTGCCCTGGATTGGAGCCTCTGCCTTGCTTCTCCCCTATGGGGCAGCCGGCACAGGGAATCTGCAGACTGGGCCCCTAGCGTTGCCCAGGAGGTGGTAGTGCCCTCCCCGGCCGTGCACTCGCTCCCTGCAATTGCTCCTGGGAGCTGGAGAGACCTAGGCATAACTCCTTTCTTCATACTGGGCCCCTTATACAGTGCCACCTTGCAGGGGACTGAGGTCTGATGGGCAGGGGCTGGAAAGATACCACGAGGAGCTGTGTGGCTCATGTGGTGGGGAGGAGCTTTGGGTTCCCTGAAGGGCTGCGGTCCAGGCCCGGGGGCAGTCCACCCCCTACCCCCTAGCCAGAACAAAGGGCTTTGCTTGGCCTGGGCTCTGAAACTGTCCCCTTACCCCTTCACCCCCCACCTCGCACCCCCTCCGGTACAACCCTTCCAATTCTTCTGTGGCTGACGGTAGCTGAAGGGGAAGATCAGGGAAAAGTGAGCCTCCCGGAAGGTGGGGGCCCTGGGTGGTCAGAGAGGAGAGCTCTGGGCCAGCCACCTCCCCTGCCACATCCTCCCACCCACCGTCCCTCCCTGGAGTCCTGACTGCCTTCTCCTGGTTCCACAGACAGCATGATCCGCGTTGGAACCAATTACCAGGCCGTAATTCCGGAGTGCAAGCCTGGTGAGTGGTAGGACAGGCTGCAATCGGAGGGGAGCGGAGGGACCATGGCTTGGCCCAGAGCCCCACCTGGGAAGCCCTGGCTGACTCCCATCACAGGACAGGCACGCGGACGGGGATGGCCCTGTGGCACAGCTCCTTTTCCTGCTCTGCCTTCCTGTCTGGGTCTCTGCCCCTCCTTCCCTTCTGGGCCTCACCTCCCCAGCCCCACTGCTCCGCTGCCTAGGCTAGCATCACAGGCTGATCTGAGTGCCTCCCCTCCTCTGCCCCGCCACCTTTCAGAGAGCCCCGCGCGCTACAGCAACAAGGAGCTGAAGGGGATGCTGGTGTGGTCGCCCAACCACTGTGTGTCAGATGCCAAGCGTGAGTGGGCAGCACCCTGGGTGACTAGATGGGTTCATGCCAGCCAGTAGCCGACTCTTCTCAGAAGTGGGCTGGAGGTTGAGGGGTGTGGGTTCAAACCATACCCTAGGGTTGGGGTCCCTGGGGAGGGACCCCTCTCTGGGCAAGGCCTGTAACGCCCTCCTCCAAGACCTGCTTTCTCCTGCCCCTCCAGTTGACAAGTACATTGCAATGGCCAAGGAGAAACACGGTTACAACATTGAGCAGGTGAGGCTCGGCCGAGTGGAGATTTGGGGTGGGGACGGGACAGTGCTGGGGCAGCTGAGCTGAGCTGCCCCTGTCCTGAGCCAGGCACTGGGCATGCTCTTGTGGCACAAACATGACGTGGAGAAGTCGCTGGCTGACCTAGCCAACTTCACCCCATTCCCTGACGAGTGGACGGTAGAGGACAAGGTGCTATTTGAACAGGCCTTTGGCTTCCATGGCAAGTGCTTCCAGCGTATCCAGCAGATGGTAAATCCCTCTCCCCTCTATCTGCCAGTGCACCTCAGCCCCTTCTCTGATGAGCCTACTAGGGCCCAGAGGCCTGGGTGGACCCCATCTGCTGGCATTGCCTTCCTCAGCTGCCGGACAAACTGATCCCCAGCCTGGTGAAGTATTACTACTCTTGGAAGAAGACCCGCAGCCGAACCAGCGTGATGGACAGGCAGGCCCGGCGACTAGGGGGCCGCAAGGACAAAGAAGACAGGTGGGGGCACGGGTAAGCGCTCGGTGGGGACAAGCAGAGTTCCTGGTGGGCCCTGGCCCCGGCCTCATTTCCTCCATGGCCCCTGTGTCAGCAGTGATGAGCTTGAAGAGGGCCGAGGAGCCGTGAGTGAGGGAGAGCCAGACGCTGGAGACTCCAAGAGAGAGGTGAGGCCCTAAAGCCGGTCTGGCCCTGCCCACCTGCCTGCCTGCCCCTCCTTGGGCTCTGCACCACCCACCCCCTCTCTTTTCCCTGCAGCTTCTGCCCTCTCGGCCCCTGAATGCCCGCCCAGGCCCTGGGAAGAAGGAGGTCCAGGTGTCCCAGTATCGCCACCACCCGCTGCGGACCCGGCGGCGCCCACCCAAGGGCATGTACCTGAGCCCCGAGGGCCTCACTGCTGTGTCGGGAAGCCCAGACCTTGCTAACCTCACGCTTCGAGACCTGGACTCCCAGCTCGTCTCCCTCAAGCGCCAGGTGGGGGTGGAGAAAAGAAGAGCCTTGCAGAGAGGGCCGTCAGACCTGGGAACTAAATTTTGGGGGACAGCTGAGGTATGAGGGAGATAGTACAGGTGCCTGGCCTGGCTCTGCCTCATCCTGTGGGATTCTGGGTAATTTGCTCTTATTTTTGAGCCTTTTAAAAAAACTGCTCTGTGGAAAGGGGAGAAGCACAGTGTCTCCCCCACTGAGAGGGAGGAGTGGGTTGGATGGTGGGTGGCAGAGAGCTTTGTTGGGGAAGTAGGAGTGGTAGCTGCAGGGGACAGAGGGCACTGGTGAGGGTTGGTGACGGCTTCCCTGGGATAGGGTTTGATGTGCTTTCCTGTCCTGGTGCTCCCAGGTGCAAAGCATGAAGCAGACCAATAGCAGCCTCCGCCAAGCTCTGGAAGGTGGCATTGATCCACTCCGCCCCCCTGAGGTAAGGCTGCTCTCCAGGTTTGGATACAGAGCCGAGTTCTCTTAGGCGGTGGGACAGAAAAGGGAGTCCTGTTTGGAGGGTAGGGCTTCAACTTCCATCGTTTTGAGTCTAATGGACATACTCTTTGCTCTCCAGGCCAACACCAAGTTCAACTCCCGCTGGACCACAGATGAGCAGCTTTTGGCTGTACAAGGTGGGTTAGACCATGGGGAGAACAGAGCAGTCCCAGGAATCTATTTCCCCACCCTCCAAGGAGTTGAGGGTAGAGGGGAAGAATCAGGGAAGTGACTAGTTCTGAGACGAGTTCACACTCTGCCCTTTTGACCCTTGCAGCCATCCGTAGGTATGGCAAAGACTTTGGGGCTATTGCAGAGGTGATTGGGAACAAGACTCTGACCCAGGTGAAGACCTTCTTTGTGAGCTACCGGCGCCGCTTCAATCTCGAGGAGGTGCTGCAGGAATGGGAGGCCGAGCAGGATGGGGCCCCTGGAGCCCCAGTCCCCATGGAGGAGGCTAGGAGAGGGGCTCCCTTGCCAGCCCCAGCCCTAGAGGAAGATGATGAGGTGAGAAGGGGGTGAGAGAAGCCCTTCAGAGAGCAGAGAGGAGAGGCCCGGCCTCAGCCTTGGTCCTGAGACTGGGCTGAGGGTGTGAGCAAGCCTGGTTTCTGACCCTTTTCTCTCCCCTCAGGTCCAGATTACATCTGTCTCCACATCTGTGCCTCGGTTGGTGCCCCCTGCACCACCGCCCCCTCCACCTCCCACCGCGCTGTCCCAGCCACCCCCACTGCTGCGGCCACCCCTGCCCACGGCGCCCACTCTGCTTCGTCAGCCCCCTCCACTACAGCAGGGCCGCTTCCTCCAGCCCCGGCTGGCCCCCAACCAGCCCCCGCCACCGCTCATCCGCCCTGCTCTGGCTGCCTCCCGCCACAGCGCCCGCTCGGGCCCCCAGCCCCCACCCACCCTGATTGGACCCCCTCTGGAGCCCCCGGCGCCCTCACTCTGAGCCCTGCGGTCCTTCACCAACCAGAAGCTCCTTCGCTGGACATCCCTGGGCACCTCCACCATCACTGAGGACAGAAGGGACCAGGGCTCTGGGCAGGAAGACCCAGAGCTCTCAATGGGCACAGCCTGGACCTGTGGGCTCTGCATGCAACCCTGGCAGCCGAACCTGGCTCCCCAGCCAGGGGCCGGGGCTGGCCTTCTGAGCCGGCCAGAGGGTCTGCTTTCTGCTTCCAGGCTGGGACTGGAATGGCTGCTGGGGCTTGGCCTTTGGGCCCTGCCCTTTGTGTGGGGGGTAGTGACTGTAGCATGGAGGTGGGTGGGGGAGAGGACTGTCTGGTGTGTGGGCTGTTCTCCTTCCTCTTTCCCTTCTTTTAGCAATAAATCTGGGGTGAGTTGGGGAGGGGGGCTTTTGCGGGGAGAGGTGGGCAGAGGTTCCTCAGGGCCTGACAGCAGCAGAGGCTGGAGGGGAATCGCTCATCTTCAAGGGTGGGTGGAGCGCTGAGGCACCGAGGGTGCCTGCTGCACCCACTGCCCAAACTTGGAGAAAGGGGGGTGGTCAGGAACTTCACGCAGACCTGGGTTTATTTTTCAACGTTTTTAAAAAATAAAAAAAAAACTCCTAAGTAAGTTCATCGAGTCCTCTTTGCCTCTGTGTAAGGGCCCTAGGCTTTGCTTCCATCTGAGCCCTGGGAGTGGGAGGGGCTGAGCCCACCCAGCCTAGGGCCTTCCCCATTTCTCCCCTGCAAGGCCTGCGGCTGGGCGGCATCTTGCCCACGGGGACTGGGTCCCTGCCCAGCTGGGAGAAGAAATGGGAGGCGGCAGCTCAGATTCCAAACATTCTCTTTATTATGTGTTTGATCCAGAAGAGAAACTAAGTGCAGGAGGGGGCTGGGTGGGGAGGGGCCACCTTGCCTGGGTGCCCCTGGCCCCCACCCTTTGGGGGGCCAAGCCATGCCCTCCTGGCCCCCTCAGAGCACCCGGGCTGTTCCAAAGGTGGGAAGAGGGAGGGCGGGAGGAGGAGCCCTTGGTCTGAGCCGGAGCAGTTGGGGGCGTGGGCAGGAGGGCTGAGGTTGGCAAGGCTCCTTCCCGGGACCCAAGGGCTCGACTTGCCACTGAGCCTGGCCTGGGAGTGGGGGTGATGAACAGGAGTGAAGTTATCATAAATCAAAAAAATAAAATAATAAAATAAAAAATAAAACCCATCACAAAAAAATGTACAACTCAGGTGAGGGTAGAGGCAGCCTCTGTACAGGACTCCCTCCCCCAACTTCTCAAGAACAGAAACAGCAGAGAAATAAATTAAGGGATGCAGCGGCCGCCACCAGCCAAGCGCCCATAACCCCCCACTCCCTCACTGGCCACGGAGGTGAGCAGGCTAGGAGCCAGTTCACCTGGCTGTCCCTACCACGTGGAGGGCAGATGCTCCCGGCCCTGCTGCCAACCAGCTCCCGGCCAGGCGGCCAGGGAAGCCCTGGGCCGCGTCTCCTGAGAGGAGGGGTGACAGTGTCAGGAAGAAAAGGCAAGGCCGAGATGAGACAGCGTGAGGAAAGTCACTGCTATGGAACTAGCTGGTGCCCAGATTAATGCCAACGAGGGGGAAGTGGCGGGGAGGAACGGCCGGGGAAGGAGGTTGTGCTTCCAGACAAAGGCCCTCCCAGAACGAGAAGACCCAGAGTCCCTGGGAGCAGCCCAGGGACCCTGAGGAGCCTGTCTGCCAGGCATCCCCTCCCCCTCCCAGCCCTGGGGTCAGCCCCTCCTTCTACCTGGGAGGGGGTGGGGAAGATGGCACAGACTTTGAGGAGGGGAACGAATGCCCCCACAGCAGCTTGTGGAACGAAATGCCCGGCTCTGGGGAAGGAGGGCAGGCGGAGGATACAGTGTGGAGGGAGGCCAGTGCCCCTCCGCCTCACCTTGCAGCCCCAGAGCAGCCACCAGCCCCACCCCCACCCCAGTCCACAGCTGCCCAGGCCTCAAGCCCTGGGGCCTGAGGTCAGGGGAAGGCCACCTCTGGTGGTTTGCTTGGAGGGAAGGAGGGGAGGAGTACGGAGAAGCCCAAAGTGGGCCTGGCGGAAGGACTGACGGGGACTCCACCACTCTTGCCTGAGAGTGTTCCAGCCCTGAGCCACCCTCCCAGGAAACCCCAGAGATCCAGTCTCAACTGTCCCAATGGGGCAGGGAGGAAAGGTGGCCGCTGGGATTTTTTTTTTTTTCTTTTTTTTTTTTGGTAATAAAAAATTTCTTGGTTTAGGCGAAATACTCTGTGCAACCGCAGTACCGAGGGGGAGCCCTGCCCCCACCCTCCCTCCCCTTCCTTTGCCTCCTGTGGGGAAGAGCGGGGGGAGGGGGACTTGTGGGCAGGGGAGACTGTGTGGGGAGAAGAACCATCTCCCAGTCCTCACAGACGTGGAAGAAGAACCAAGACGGGCGGGGAGGGAGAAGTGCCAGCAGGGGGAGACACACCGAGTCCAATCCAAAGTCTCGCCCGTGGGGTGGAGTGGTGGCCCCAGCAGCTAAGTCCAGCTGGCCGCCTCGGGCTCCCCCCACTCCTGGCAGCCCGTTAAAGCTTAAGCTCATTTGCTATTTTGGAGGCAATGTTTTTGAAGGCCATGGAGGTGCCTGATATCCGCTTAAACCGCACGCCGTTGAGGGAGAGTCGCGGCAGTTTGCACACCTCCATCTCCCACTGCACGAAGTCCTCGTGACCCGGCGTGCCATGCATGCACAGCAGCATGTACTTCTCATGCAGCTCACTCTGGCAGCTGTTCGCGTCCAGCACCTTGCGGATCTCCCGCATCATCTCATTGGGCTCCATGGAGCTCGTGGTCTTCATGCTCCACGTGAAACGCAGCGAGCGTGGCTTGGCCTCTCGAAAGTCTTCCTTCTCTTTGTCATTGCCCACTCCACCGCCCACCACGTGAGGTCTGCAGAGAGGGCAGAGGTGGGTGTCAGGCGGGGGGCCGAGGCACCCCACCCCCGGGACAGCCCCCCTGGCAGGCAGGCAGACAGACCCTGAGACCAGAGGAGAGGGAGAGTGTGCAGGAGCAATCCGTGCTGGAAGAGGGAGCAGTTAGAACCTGGTCAGAGGGGGCAAAGGGATGGTGAGGAGAGGCCATCCCTGGAGGGGTGACAGTTCCATGCAGTTACCGTTTCTTTCAGTGACAAGGGGAGGGCTGGGGAAGAAACGGGATCATGTGCTCAGTGGCCCTGAGCAGTTCACAAACTGCCTACATGGGAGGAAAAAACTGAGACACAAAAAGGTGAGCTGGTCATCAAGGAGGGATCTGCAGCCCCAACCGCCCAGCCCAGGGCTCCTCCTTCCAGAACACACCAGACCTGAGGAGGAGGGCCCAAAACGACTGTAGTTGGGGGCTGAGGCTGGCTGAGGAGATGGAGGCCCCAGCAGGGTGGGGGCAGGGGAAGAGCCAAGTGGCAGAAGGAAGAGAGGAGCAGGAGGCGTGTGGCGAGCCCGGTGGCCCGGGCAGGGCCGCTGCTGGCTCCAGCCCTCTCACCTGAGCGTCTCCACTCGATCTTTGCTTTCAGGTTCATTCAGGTTCCTCAAAAAACAGAGCGAGGGAGAGTTTAGTGCTGGGGCCTCTTGCTCCTTCCGCCGCCGCAGACCCAGGTGAGGGTGGGTACTGGCAGGTGCCACTGGTGGTGGGTAGGACCCAAGCCCTCAGGCCACTTGCCCATCACCTGGCAGGCCAACACGGCTCTGCAGCGCCTCACACTGGCGGCTCAACTCCTGTCCAGCCGGGAGCCCAGCACACAGGCCTGTCCCTCCCACTCCCAGGGATCTGTGCTGGGGAGAGGGCGCCTCAGCTCCAGAAGGAGGGCTGGATGTGCACACGCGTCACAGCAGGAGGCGGCCAAGCTCATCGTCTGCACTGGGGTGGGGCTGTGACGGGGTCTTTTGCACCAATATACCAGGGTCTTGGAATGGTAGCCCTCTGGGAGGGAAGAGGATACAGTGTGTTTTGTGTATCTTTGTGGGAGAAGGGGCTGGGGAGAGTGTGGAGGCCTCTCTCAGAGGGTCCCAAGGGCCAAGCCCTCCGATCTGCCTGCTGAGGAGTGGGGAGGAAAAGGGCGATAAGGCCTGGCTGCAGGAAGGGAAAGGCCACGTCCCTTCCTTCTTTAACTCCCCATCTGCCAGCCTGCTGACCATCTGCTTGTGCAGGGGGGAGGACGGAGGGCAGGGCAGGTAGACACGTTGGGAGGGTGGGTGGGAAAGAGGTCTGGCCCCGCTGAGCGGCTTCTCCTGGCTGGAAGATGAGTGCCTGGAGCCGGGAAATTGGGGACTGGGGAGGAGGGCAGGGGCATAAGGCAGAGGAAGAGAGGAGCAGCAGCAGCACATGTAAAAGAACACAAAGACACAACAGACACAATGCAAACAAGCCCCCAGCTGCTCTCTCCAGCCCCACCCGAGGGCCTGGCTCCTGCCGGTGTGGGCAGAGGCCCCTGCAAGGCAGGCCCCACTGGGGCCCTGTGCAGCAATGGACAGCCATGCAGTGAAAGGTTGGGGGGTGGGGCTGGGGAGTGTCAAAAGGAGAAGCCTGAGACCCTGTCTTGACACATTCTCCACCAGGTGGGGGAGCCAATGTGACCACCAGGCGTCCCAGTTACAGCAGAGGGCCAGGGCCGACTCAGCCTCAGGGAACCAGTGCTCCCAACCCAGGCCTGGCCCACCCAGGCGTCTAGAGAGGAAGAGGATGGGGCCAGGAGTGGAAGGCCAGGACCCAGCCTGAGAAGGGAGATGGCAGAGGGCGGGGCAGGATCTCTCACTCTTTCTCAGGACTTGGAGCAGAATGCCCCTAGAACCTCCCAGCCCCTGGCTCTTTGGAACCCACAGGCCATGTCAGGTGAACACAGCCCAGATGAGAGGGGGCTTGATCCACCCAGACACTGGGGAGGCAGGAGGTGTGCTGGTGGGGGAGGGCGGTCTAGTTCTGCAGAAGCTGCCAGAAGGGGGCGCTGTGCTCCATTCGTGGCAAAGGCTCCTTGGGCCTGGAGGACTCAGACTGCCACCTTGGCAACCGTGTCTCTGTAGTACCTCTGAGGTCCTGCCATCCCACAGGACAGGGGAAGAGGTCACACAGCCCTGAAGATCAGGGGACCAGAGGAGGGAAGTCCAGGAGAGCCCAGAATGAAACAGGATCCCAGACGCACTTTTAACCCCAGTGAGCCTCCTCACAGAGCATGCACACAGCAGGGTAAAGGGACAGAAAAGGAACCCAACACTGGTGACCAAAACCCTGGGGGGGGCAGCGAGGACAATCTTAAAGGGAGAATTCCCTGAGAAGGTCCCCCCTTGCTTGGGGACAGGCATAACTGCGGGCCCAAGGCCCCTCAGTTTCAAAGCCATTTGCCTTGTGAGGCAAATGTGCCCTCTTGGGGGTTATGTGCCCCCTCACCTTCCCGTCAGCAGGAGGCAGGGAAGGCAGGCCTTGTGGGGATGCCCCATTAGAGGCAGGCTTCATCCCTTTAAGATGGCAGAGAGAGGAGGGCCACACAGACTCGGTTAGCAGGTGGAGGAGGGAGCAAGAGCCAGAAGAGGGGGGTTAATGATGGAGGCAAGACACAGGACAGACACACACACACAGCGGGCTCAACGCCTACCT